CGGGGGGGGGAGGTGGAGCCGAGCGCAGCCTCTCCTCGCAGGGCGCTGGGCTTGGTCACAGGATTGAGCGCTTGGTCAATTATCAAACGCATTAACGAGGGAGGCCAATGCTCGTACCTGGTTATTCAAATCCTGCTGCGGGAAGGTGTGGAAGGAGGTGCCTCTTTATTCCTTCAGCCAAAGCTGGCGGGGAATCTGGGGCATGCTGACTTGAACCTGACAGTCCCCTGAGGGCGTGGAAGGGGACTTGGCCACAAGATATTTGCATCGGCCCAGGAGGAAGAAGCGACGCCCAGATGGGTAAATCTCTTCCCCGGAACGGCTGCGGTGCATGGGGAATGTGGCTTAACAGGACTCGGGTGCCCTCCAAATCCCCTTCCCTGCAGCAGGAGAGCCAGGGGGTCCAGCGATGCCCCAGTTCAGACATCTCCTCCCACTCCGTGAGACCCCAGGTCCTGAGGATGTGGGGAGCTGCCCAGCATGGCTCCTGTGTCCCGGCTCCTTTTCTTTCAGCAAGTGACATTAACAACCCAGCAAAATATGTTTGCAGCTTAAGAAATCAATTTAATAAACCAGACTTGATGCCGAGTACTGCCTCCTACCTCTCACGCCTCGTTTAATGGAGAGATTGTTAAACCGACCAAACACAGCGTTCATTTTATTGAGCCTTCAGGGCTGTTTCCAAAACTTCTTTGTCACCAGAAGTGGAAACACATGAAGACCCGCGGCAGGCAGCACAGCTGGCAGAGCCTTCGCATCAGCCACGCAGATGCTGCAGGACAGGGAAGGTTGCAGGTCCTGAGTTAAGCAGCTTCCCAGCCCTTGCCAGGTTTGAATGGCTGGCTAACCCACCCTGCGGCAAGGATAAAAGCTTTTTGGCTTCACGGCTGCACAACTTCAGTTACACCTGAAGGAAATTTTCAAGTTGTGAGCTGGTGATTTGTTGTCACTCTTCTCGTCATGTGTCACAGGATCTCTGCAAGCCCAGCATTGCAGGACCGCTGAGCATCAGCCTCGGCAGCATCTGAGCTCCCAACCTCTGCATCTGGTGCCTTCTCCCTCATCCTCAGGGGACACACACTCGGGAACATGCAGCACCCTCAGGAATGCATACCCACAGGTGCAGG